AGACAGACAGACAGACAGACAGACAGACAGACAGACAGACAGACAGATAGATAGATAGATAGATAGATAGATAGATAGATAGATAGATAGATAGATAGATAGATAGATAGATGACAGACAGACAGATAGATAGATATTTAACTTTTATCGCTAATATCGCCAGATCAGATACCGATACCATGCCGATAATATCGTGCATTCCTATAAAATTAAATACAAAATAATTTTATAGACTATTGCAGCATAATTGGTCTACCTTTTCAAATAGTTACAACACAAAAAGCATAAAATGACGTAAGGCACGTAGCACCTTTTATGCTATTTACTGGTTTAGTAAGAAGAGTTTGAATTTGCCCACTCCTGATTACTTTCTGTCTATTATAAACATTATTAAATAAAGTACCGATCCAGATATCTGAGAAATTGTGTAACTGTGGTGAAGACCTGGGGTGGTGTAAGGTGATACTTAATCCTTTCATGAACAGACCCGTGTTCAGCTTTCTGCTGAGAGACAGGTATTTGGCTCGTGCCAGGCAGAGACCGTATCTTCAGAAAAATATGCTAAAGGAATGCAAAGAGGTGCCCAAAACAACAAGCAACAGTGAGAGAATAGAAAGAACAGTTTGTAGCACTTTGTGCCAAGTTTTAATGAAAATTTCAGGCATGACCTCTATTGTGACATTTGGAATTTGAAGGTTGTTGAAAAAAGAATCCAGCAAGCAAAAACTCTAAAAACAGATTATGAACTGTTTCCAGTGCCTTGTTGTTACTGACAACTGATTACAATAAAGTTTAGTCATTAAAAAACAAAATCATAGCCAGGGATCAATCAGAAATATTATGATGCTGCTTGTCGTTTAAAACAAACAAAATAAGATTGAAAAACTACAATCAGATCATTTTAAATGTTGATATGAGACAAAATGCTTCCATATGATGTGAAATAATTTAATAACGCATTGTAAAGCTTTTGCTTTTCAAGTAACAAAAAAATAGTTTAATTAAAAAATTGTGTTCAATTATACAGAATTATGCAGAATAAAAATCTCACTTTATAAAATAAACACTTCTTCTAACACCAGAATATAGCTGCTTACTACAAAATAGTTCTGGATTTAAATTTTCCTCATTTTACAGAAAGTATTAAGGTAGATTAGTAACTAAACATTTGTATTAATTGACTATAATTAAATATGTACCGGTATATGTTTGCCTGCAGTTTTAAATAGAACTGGGTTTGGGTTAGAGAATTTTCGATCAAGGGTTATAAATGTTTTATTGTGTTTTATTATTGTGTCTGAGAATATTTTTCCTTTAAAGCTATGAGAATGTGCCGCTCGGATGTCTCCCAAAACACTCTCTAATCTCGGACTGGAGGCCGAGTCGCGATGTCTCTCTGACGCCCAAAAACCATCTGTGTAGACAAAGATTGTTGATGTGAGTTGGGATTGCAGCTGGCTTGAGCACGAAGGAACGCCCACTGAACTGTTAATGTTATAAAAGTCTGTAGACGACTCTGTTCCAGGTTCATTCTGTGATTCACTGTTTTCATGCGTATGCATTTATGCATGTAACTTGTCCTGAATGTGGCCCTTGCAAGTAAAGTTGGATAAAAATCTTTAACTGCCACAAGTTGCAGCTGTTTTGGGTAAATGTTAGTGAACAAGAATTTTTCTAACGGATTCATATAAATTTAGTTTTGTTATGTATTTATTTTTTTGCATAAAGGCTAATATATTTGAGATTTTTGTCCTGATGCATGTTCAATAATCCAGGTAAATAAATCCAGTAAGGTTAAGTCAGGTCCTCTGGACAGATTCTTCTTTGTTGAAATCTTTTATCTTTTATCCAAAGACTTCCTTCAGTCTGAGGAGCTGCAAACACAGTCTTAAAAACAGCACCTTCTCACAGTGGATCAGCCAGTTTACTGGTGACAGCCAAAACTAGCTGTTCACATGCAAAGGGAGGACCATCAGCCTAACAACTGATTGTTAGTGCCCTGGTGGCTGCTTGTTATTCTTGCGATGCACTAACAGCATTGTAAGAGGGGGACAGTTGAACACGGAGGCCTCCACCCCCGTTTAACGACGGACAAGTTCTCTTCACAAAGATGGCTTCCTTCACTCCTCTCTTAAACCAACGTTCCCCTCTATCAAGGATGTGAACATCTTCATCCCTGAAAGTGGTTGCTGGCCTGCAGATGAGTGTGGAGGTGTATTTGAGGTTTTATGTAACAACAGACATGAGAGCCACAACACTGATTATAGAACAAATGCAACATATAGATATTCATTTTCTGTTTCTTATCCGTGACTGGGTGATGGAGGCAACAGGTTCAGGAGGAAGACCGAGTCACCAGCTCCTCCTGGGAGATCACAGGGTCGGAGAGGATACATCATCCCTCTGGAACTTTTTGAGTTTGTCGCAGGGCTTCCTCCAGATGGAAAAAAATATAACCTGGGTGGCTGTGGCTGAGTGATTAGAGAAGTTGTCCTCCAATGCGAGAGCTGGGGGTTCGATTCCACCAGCAGTCACACGCCAACGTGTCCCTAGGCAAGACACTGAACCCCTCATTGACTATGATGTGCCCCATCGGTGTATGAATGTGATAAAGCACTGATTAGTCTTTGTAAAGATATAGTAAAGTGCTGTATGAATGGGTAAATGAGGGCACAGATTGTAGTGTAAAGCGCTTTGAGTGTCTTGATCAGATAGAAAGGTGCTTTAAGTACAGACCATTTACCTTCATAAATTTTAATGGCAATAAAAAAGTCCCTTTTGTCTTTACATTTGTGGATTTCTAAAACAAGCTATGTTCCATTTTTGGCAACTTGAGCACAGCCTCTGAAGAGTCCCAATAAGGTGTAGTGTCAAAGAAATGTGTGTGTGGAATTGCTTCTTAGTTTAAATAATCTCACCAACAAGAGTGTGCAAGGCAGGCAGGACATCTGTACTTTGCCTCCTCTGAACCACAAACTCCACATCTGCAGCAAAGACATCAGCATGAAACATAAAATTATGACACTTTTTTCTTTTTCAAAATTAAAATGAACAATTCATATAGATATGGTTAACAGAAACACAATAACCACCATCTCAATTATAGCTTTCAAATATCTGGATACTTCAGATCAAACTATACGGAATTTAAAAAAAAAAGCTACAGTACATCCAAAAAAACAAGAAACATGTCGCATTTACTTAAAATACAAATGTATTGAGTGTCGCACTGAAATAAAAAAGGAAAAGTTGGGAGTGGCTAAATAAAACAACAGTGCTAAAGTTTGAAAACTTCGTTGTCTGGACTCACTTTGAGAGGGACATTTTCCTTTTTATCGCTTTCTGCTCATCCTCTTGACAACTGTAATCGACTGGACTCTTCAATGTAGACATGTTATTTTATTTTTTTGTAAAACCGGTGGGAACATACAGCAGAACCCCTAAAGCATGTTCATTAAAAGCGTCTCGCTGCATCAAAACAGATCCACTTCCGCCAAGAGGAGCAGCACGTGGGAACAAGTTCCGGTTGACTTCTGCTCGTTGGCGCCGCCACGTGTCTAAGAGTTGTAACTACAACACTAACTGTTGGAAAATATGAAAATAAACATAAACCATTTAGAGGAAATAAAGTCATATTAGTCATATTAGTCATATTTAATATTTTTTATTTTAGTATTTTTAAGGAGAATAGCTCTAATAGCATCTACACCTCCAGATGTAGGAAGAGGGCAACCTGCATCATGAAGGACCCCACTCACCCAGCACACACACTTTTTGCCCCACTCCCCTCAGGAAGGAGGTTAAGGAGCATTAAGTGTAGAACCACTAGACTGAGGAACAGCTTCTACCCTGAGGCTGTCAGACTCATGAATCTCTAACTAGAATAATCACTGTGAAAAACCTGTTGCTGCTGATCTGTTTCATGTTGCTGCTGATCTGTTTAAATGTTGATGTGTTCATGCGTGCACATCTGCTCACAGACTCATGTTCATGTTTGTGCTGATGTTCAATGTTTTTATGTTATGAGTGCTTAATGTATATTTAGTTGATGTTTTTCTTAGTTCATATCTTAGATGTTATTACTGTTTTTCTTATACATTTTATTGTTGGATGTAACTGGGACCTTGTGTACATAATTTCGCTCCACCACATGTACCCCATGAGGTGCGAATGACAATAAAGAAACTCTGACTCTGTCTCTGACTAAAGATTTAGAATTTCCCCATGTTTTTTTCTACCCTTTGTATTAAAAAGGAATTGAAACAAATTTTTTTCTCATTATTTCTTTAACGAGATGCTTTAAATAATACTTAGACTTGAGACTTTATGTTTTGTTTTTATATTGTACTTTAAGGGCCAATGGTGGACTTGCATCCTGTCCAGGGAGTACTGTCTCTCTTTACAGTGACCATTGGAGACAGAAACCAGTTCCCCTGCAGCCCTGAATGAAACAAGCAGGTATAGAAAATGAAAGGATGGATGGATGCAATATACTTTAGATATACCAACACAAACTGTTCCCAAATGACTGTCTTGCAAATAACTATATTGGAAATACATGTTGGAGGAGAGACAATTTTTGGTTATTTACTTTTTCTTGTTGTTTTTCTTATTTATTTATTTTTGGTCAAAGTTGTAGCCTGAAACAAGATATATATTCAGTGTTAACTGTTATGTCAAGTGATTCAAGTCATGCATGGGAGACATTCTTCTTTTTCTTCTTCTTCTTCTTTCGACTTTTCCCTCTTCAGGGGTCGCCACAGCAAGCCACCCTCCTCCACCTCACTCTGTCCTCTGCATCCTCTGTTCTCACTCCAACTTTTCATTCATTCAACCTTTATTTAAACAGACAAATCACATTGAACCTCAAAGACTCAACTACCTTCATATCCTCTCTAACTGCATCCATATATCTCCTCTTTGGCCTTCTGCTTTGTCTTTGTCCTGGCAGCTGCATTTCTAATATCCTTCTACCAATATACCCACTGTCCCTCCTCTTGACATGGCCAAACCATCTCAGTCTGGCCTCCCTAACTTTATCTCCCAGTCATTCAACCTGTGCTGTACCTCTGATGATCTCATTCCTAATCTTATCCAGCCTTGTCACTCCCAAGGAGAACCTTAGCATCTTCATTTCTGCCACTTCCAGTTCTTTCTCCTGTCTTTTTGTCAATGCCATTGTCTCCAGACCATACAATATAGCTGGTCTCACCACTGTCTTGTAAACTTTTCCTTTGACCTTTGCTGACACCTTTTTGTCGCAAATCACTCCTGAAACTTTTCTCCATCCACTCCATCCTGCCTGGACTCTCTTTTGCACTTCTTTACCACATTCCCCATTTTCCTGGACAATGGACCCCAAGTACTTGAAGTCCTGCACCTTTGTGACCTCTGCTCCTTGTAGCCTCACTGTTCCACCAGCCTCCCTCTCATTCACACACATGTACTCTGTCTTACTACGGCTGACTTGCATTTCTCTTCTTTCAAGTGCATACCTCTACCTCTCCAAGTTCTCTTCCACATGTTCCCTGTTCTCACCACAGATCACAATGTCATCTGCAAACATCATCGTCCATGGGGATTCTTGCCTGACCTCATCTGTTAGTCGGTCCATCACTAGAGCAAACAAGAAGGGGCTCAGAGCTGATCCTTGATGCAATCCCACCTCCACCTTGAAGCTATCTGTCACTCCTACAGCACATCTCACCACTGTCCTGCTGTCCTCATACATGTCCTGTACCAGTCTAACATACTTTTCTGCCACTCCATATTTCCTCATGCAATACCACACCTCCTCTCTTGGCGCTCTGTCGTATGCTTTTTCTAAATCCACAAAGACACAATGGAGTTCTTTCCGACCCTCTCTGTACATCTCCATCAGCATTCTCAAAGCAAAGATGGCATCTGTGGTGCTCTTTCGTGGCATGAAACTGCTGCTCACAGATAGTCACCTCTCGTCTAAGTCTTGCTTCCACAACTCTCTCCCAGATTTTCATCGTGTGGCTCATCAACTTAATTCCCCTGTAGTTGCTACAAGTCTGTACATCACCCTTGTTCTTAAAAACGGACACCAGCACACTTCTTCTCCATTCCTGAGGCATTTTCTCACCCTCATACATGCCATTGAATATTTGAGTCAAAAACCTCACTGCCATTTCTCCAAGACATTTCCAAACCTCCACTGGTATGTCATCATGTCCTATTGCCTTACCCTTCTTCATTCTTCTCTTTTCTTTTCTCATTCTTCTTCATTCTCTCCGTGCATACGTGGATTTTCTCCGGGTGCTCCAGTTTCCTCCCACAGACCAAAAACATGCATGTTAGACTAATTGGTAACTCTAATTTGACCCTAGGTGTGAATGAGAGTGTGACTGGTTGTTTGTCTAGTTTGTCTCTATGTGGCCCTGTGATGGACTTGTGATTTATCCAGGGTGTCTCCCGCCTCTCGCACAGTGATTGCTGGACATGGTCATCAGTGATCAACTCGAAAAGGAAGAAATGGGTAAAAATAATTGATGGATGAATGGTGGTGTTGTTAAGTGTGTATGAATTGTGTGACCCTAAAACACTCACACGAAGAATCTGACAATATCAAATATATGCAGTGAATTGCAAACTGTCAAAGAATAATGTTATATATGGACTTTAAAAATATATACATTGATGAGTTTCTAATGAGTTGCAAACATGAACTAATGCTAATCAGCAACTTTTTTTTGTGGATTTCAACATGTCTGGACAATAGAATACTCACAGCGCTCAATATTGTAAAATAATAAAATAAATAAATTTAAATATATGCACCACTAATGAAATCTGTTTATATTCTCTTTTTGTAATTCCGGAAGAATGTACTGTAGACATACAGGTCCACTGGCAGCACAGTGGCTCAGTTGGTAGATCTGCCACCTCTCAGCGAGAAGGTCGCAATGTTGCATCCTGCCCGAAGAGCCTTTCTGGGTGGAGTTTGCATGTTTTCTCTATGCTTGCGTGAGTTTTCTCCGAGTACTCCGGTTTCTTCCCACAGACCAAAAACATGCATGTTAGGTTGATTGGTAACTCTAAATTGACCCTAGGTGTGAGAGTGTGAATGGATGTTTGTCTCTATGTGGCTTGTGATCAGTCCAGGGTGTCTCCTGCCTCTCACACAGTGATTGCTGGACATGGCCATCAGTTACCAGCTCGAAAAAGAAGATGTGGATAAAGATAATGGATGGACGGATGTCTGCTGGCATCCATAAGGAGGTGCTGCCTTACTTACCGTCATGCTATTCCTGCTGGACTCCAGTGTGTTTTTGACTTGTCCATTATGGTATCTACGTCTTATCAAAAAGAGCACAGAACCAGTTGTGGATCAAAAAGATCCTTTTATTTGTCAAGGCTTTTCTATTTACACATTTGCAATATCCTCCAGAAAATTTCCAAACACTTTGTTGAAGGTATTATAACTTAAGTATATAATGACTGTTTTCCTTGTTGTTGACTCCGACTGACTATAGCTGGCAGCCAGAAAAATACCTCTGAATGTAAAAAAACAAACAAAAACAATAATGATAATGATTAAAAACAACAACAACACTATGATGAAGAGTCAAAGGTATGAACTGAAAACACACCATTTCAACATAAATATTCCTTAGACTGAGCTGTGGTTGGTGAAACAAATCTCTGAGAGTATAACTTACTGAAGTTCAGTAATGTGAATAAAAAAACAGGTTATAAATAAACATACAGTATGCTGTCAATATATACACAGGAAATGTTGATGACTCATTGTTGCAGCACCAATGGTTGGTTTGGAAACCAACCACATAGAGAGAAACACTACAGAAATATGTAGTGGATCAAAAATTGGTTCATAAATTAGAAATGACCAAATCAACACAACACATATCTTGATGTAACCGGTACATACGACACAAAGTCAACAATGACTACACTGACATTAGCGACTAGTCTAGAAAGCAAATCACCAGGTAGAGGTAGAGCACCATAAGTCTAGAGGTACAAGTCCAACTGTGTGGGACCAAAATAAAAACAAACGTAAATATTTCATTAGATGGGATTTTCTTTAAAGCAGTCACATATTATCCACATGCTATTGCACTTGTTTAAACCCTTACTTAGACAGTGTCCTATGCAGAGGCCCGGCACGATCCTTCGGGGTGGGCTCCTGCTTAGGATGATCTGGGTGTTTACTGTGTATGTTTAGAGATTCTGAACAGGCCGCTGCGCTGGGAGGCCCTTCCCTGTGATTAGGAATTAATATGGGTCCGTTTGCAGTTAAACTAAGCACTGTAAAAAGAAAACCTAAATTAAATAGATTTTACGTTTATTTGATACATTTCTGAATGGACAGTTCTCAATGGACTGACTTTGGGCCTCATTGACATGAATAAATCACAAAGATTGAGTTCTTCTGAGTAGATCTTCCTCAAATGAGCATTTTCTCTCACAAAGTCCCATTGAGACTCTTCAGAAAAAACATTAACTCCCATGAACACATCCTGAAGAGGCATAACTTTGGTATGAAAAAAAAAAATCTGTAAATCTGAGTGGTCTGCGTGAGCGAGTTAAAGGAAGATGTTGTGTCAGAGGAAGCAGACAGGACCGATTTCTATGTCCTGTTGACGGTTGTCCTGTGAAGTGGGAAATCCCTGTATGTCTGAAATGGGTAGCTGACGACTGTCCTGAGTGTGGAAGAAGAAACGAGACTGGTGCCACCTGCCATCTTGGATCTGAAACACAATGAATGGAGGAAAGCAAAGTACAGCATGTGATTTCAGTGGTTTGTGATCCAGATATTTATACATAAAGTCACAATAAAATAAAATACAATAGTTTTAAGTTCTGCAAGCACATTTGGAACTTTCTCCAAATCTAAACCTTGAAAACAATAAAACAATTCTCTAAAATGTGATTATTCCTATGGATTTCTAAAGTCAAATCTATCGATATTCTGAATTATGTGAAAGGTTTTATGAGAATGAGTCTAAAGCTTCTGTTGTGCTCGTTACCTCGCACTCATCTTGCATCACATGTGGTTCAAGTAGTGTGTCTTTCTCAAACATTTGCTTGTTCCAGCCTTGGAACCGAAGCCTGCTGTTTTCTATATGTAAGGGTCCGGTGGAGCTAAATGTGTTCTTGGTGCTGTAGGGTGGATCGCTTTGGCAGTGGAATGTGATGCTTTGGCTCGCCTCGGCGCTCAGTAAATGTAGAAATTTCATTTGGACTTTCTCAACACCAAACACCATCTGTTGGAGAGGAAACATAGTTGAAGAGCTGTCTTGAAAACACAGACTCAAGGGACAACAGGATTTATTCTTGGACATACCTACAAATGTGTGCTTTATATTCAGTTTCAATTCAATTCAGTTTATTTATATAGTGCCATGTCACAACAGAAGTCATCTCAGGGCACTGAACAGAAACTTTAATATATAAAAGTAATAATTTAACCCTATTTATCTGAGAGACAGACTGCTTTGAGTTTAACTCCATCTCAGAACTCTCATCTTGAGCAAACATGAAGGCGACAGTGGAAAGGAAAAAAAAAAACCTCATGAGGAAGAAACCTTTAGTAGAACCAGGCTCAGGACAAGTGGCCCTTTGCTTCGACCGGCTGGGTTTGGTAGGAACAGATACACAATGGCAGGACAAGACTCACACGGTAAGATAGAAATAGTATCAAATGAAAACTATTCAATTTTAGCAAACAATTTAAGGAAATTAGGTCAATTTGTTCTCTAGTAGTCTAAGCTTAAGACAACATAACAAGTCAACCCTAATTATAGAATTTATCAAAAAGAAAATCCTTAAGCCCAGTCTTAAAACTGGACAATGTGTCAGCCTCATGGACAGAAACTGGAAGTTGGTTCCACAAGAGAGGAGCCTGATAATGGAAAGATCTTCCTCCCATTCTACTTTGGGAAACGCTAGGAACCGTAAATAAGCCTGCAGTCTAAGAATGAAGTGCACTCTTAGGAAAATATGGAACAATACGATCTTGAATATAAGATAGAGCCAGGTTGTTGAGAGCTTTGTAGATTAGAAGTAAGATTTTGAATTAAATTCTGGATTTGACAGGGAGCCAATGGAGAGAAGCTAAAACTGGAGAGATATGATCTCTCCTACTAACTCCAGTTAAGACTCTGGCAGCAGCATTTTGGATCAACTGAAGACGTTTCAAAGAAATATTTGGACACCTGGATAATGAACCACTGCAATAATCCAGTCTAGACATGACATGCATGAACCAATTTTTATGCATACATTTTGGATAAGATGTTTCTAATATTATTATGCAGGTGGAAGAAGGCGGTTCTAGTAACATTTTTAATGTGGGGGATAAAAGACATGTCCTGATCAAAAACAACACCAAGATTTTTAACATTAGAGCTGGAGGCCAGATTAATGTAATCTAAGGAGGACTTAAGACTGAAAAATGTATTTATTCCTAAGATGCTCAGGTCCAAAAACTAAAACCTCAGTCTTGTCTGTTTTCAAAATAAGAAAATTCAGGGTAATCCAAGTTTTTATGTCTTGAAGACATGCTTGTAGTCTAAGTAGCTGATTGGATTGGATTGGGTTTCATGGATAAATATAACTGTGTATCATCAGCAATCATCTGTAATTGCCAACATCTACTTCTTCACTGGTACCTTATTGGAGGCCACTGGGTGTAAACAAGTCTGTCCACCTGCAGTAAAGTTGCAGTAAACCTTGAAGGCATCAGAAGTGCAGCCCAGGTTTGGATCAATCCAGAACCAGTCTGAAAGTCCCCAAACAGATAACAAAAAGGCAAAGTGAGAAAAGGTTCCACTATTAAAATAAACCAAATATGACAAATAAACCCTGCTGCCACATACCGTCTTTGAGGTGTAAGTGTCGACAGTCCAGCAGGTCTCTGCAGACACGAGCAGGGTTCTCCCTCGTGCCCAGAGGCTTCTTGATGCTCTCAATTATGCTGCTCAGGTAATGGAGAGTTTTGAGGATCTCTGTGTTCTGGTCTGCCTGGCTCATTTCCATGTTCTGAAAACTCTGGTTGCATTAGAGAAAGAGAAAACTGTCAAGCTCTAAACTAATGGAAGCGATCAATAATCTACCACCATGTCCACTTATAGATGACTCATCCATTCATCTGTTTTATGTACTTTACCTCTGTCCTGAGGGCAGGATTGGCGTCAGACTGACTGTATATTGAGTCATCATAAATGTGCCTCTGTGGAGTGAAAACAACACGATTAGTTCAATAAACTGTCTTGTTCTAAACACTTCTTACTTATGTTCAAAAATCAATACACAATTATACAGCACAAATACACTTTCATAACAGCCTAGCATTAACAAAGCACACATTCCAGATTCCAGTATGAAGAATAACATTCCACTAAAACTTGGAGTTTCCATTTAATATGTTTAAACGAAGGCAACTGTGAAATTGTTGAAATTTTTATGGTTTGTTCGAACAGAAAATGGGTTATCCAAACAGCAGAGAGCTTCCCATATCTGGATATAACCACAAGTAATAAAAAAGAGCCTTTCTTTGTAATGACAACTAATGGTTATCAATGGTTCATTTTACTGGGTTTGTTGAATATTATTCCCTGGGGTTCATGATTTGATGGCTCATTTACAACAAGTCAGAAGGGAAAGTTCCAGCTCTTCTTTTTCTTAGTTTATCCAACACATTTTTTTTTTCAGCTGTTCCCTTCATCAGGGGTCACCACAGTGAACCAAGTTGCGCAAAGACTTGGCAATTATCTTTTTACGCTGGATGCCCTTCCTGACGTAAGACCACCAAGCTACCACTGCCCTCTGTGTGGGGCAGAGAGTGACCATCTAGGGCGCCCAGGGGAGCAGACGGTGGGGGTTAAGGGCCTTGCTCAAGGTCCCAGAGTGGGGCAAATGAGGGTGGAGACAGAGGTGGGTGCCTCACCAATCCCACCCACATTTTGATGTTGTCGATACCACGAGTTGAACCAGCGATCTCCCGATCACAGGCTTCTTTAACCTCTGCACCAGCAAACACCAAAAAAATACAGTTTTTATTTTCTTCTATTTTCCTGAAAAGTCTCTAGGATGAAGGAAAGGTACATTTCATGTTTCAGGACATGGAAAGACAATTTGCTCACTTTAAAATGACGACCCAACAGAATGAGGACACGAGGCACAGTGGCGTGTAATACAAATTCTCAAAAGTTTAACTAATAGCTGAACATTTATGGTCATTACGGTCTAAATTTGCAGTATTGTACATTTAAACAACACTTCTGCTGTCATCAGATCTTGTCCACACGTCTACATTACTGATGCGAAACACTTACTGTTGGACCGGGTGCACCAGGGGGTCCCTACAGAGGGAGGAAGGGGGAAAAAAACAAAAAGTTCAATGTTGGAAAATGATCCCACTGTGGCTGCAGTCAGTTCAGTCTCTGGTTTTATTTATATTATTTATACATTAACATGTGCTCTGTGCTGCAGCATTACAAAAAAGAAAGTGTGTTTTAGTGTAACTTCACATCTAATCTGTCTGAGAGAATGGATGTAAAGGAAAACATGTCAGAAGTGTTTACCGCTTGCAGCAGATTTAAGGTATTAGCACTAATCTGAAGGTCAACATTAAAACAGTCTGAGCAGGGTCTGAGATGCTGAAATGTGATGCTGGAGTTAACTCTTACCCTGGGTCCTGGACTTCCTTGTGGTCCCTGAGGCCCCTGGGAAAAAAACACACATCTCAATATGTTTAAAAAAAAAAAAAATGTAATGTCTGTTTTGCTATGTTTGTTTTAAAGATGCCAGTCTTGTCAGCATCATAGTTCGGGAACTTTTACACTTTAAAAAACACTTTCTGCTAACCTAGAGTGGTCATTAAATAAATGATTCAGCTGAACTTCACTTAAAGAACAAGCATACATCTGCAGATAACTTTTACTCATTGGCTTTTATACTGTATATGAATATTTTGTACAGTGCCCTGAGATGACTTCTGTTGTGACTTGGCACTATAAACTGAATTGAATTGAACAGAAATCATTTTCAGTGGTTTCTTACTGCCCCCTCTGGCTGACCAGAGGTAGTAACTGAGCATTTTCTTTTATTTTTTTAAATTATTTATTTATTTATTTATTTTTGTGGTGAGAATCGAAGTTGTTCAGCATGTCCTCACATATGCAAAACTCCTCATATCACTGGGGGGTCTCATGTGGCACACAGCTGGTTTGTGTGTATTTGTGTCTAGCTGTGGAAATTGTCAAGGGATATAGGCTGTTAGAGATTTTTTGTTTGTTTGCTCGTTTGTTTAATTGTGATTTTGGAAAGTCATTTCATCAGCAGTGTTCATTTAAGACATTCTAAGGCTTTCCACACTACATGACTTACTGAGTAACAGCTATTTGACCCATCTATAGCCGTCTACCAGTATATCATGGCTGAGGATAGTCAAACAAGAACTATACAAAACAGGGCCCACCAGTACTGTTCCAGGCACATATTTTTATATTTCCTACTTACACAGTAGGTCCTAAATAAAACTTGATTAGTGTAACAGCAGCCACTGAAAATCACTGTGGTAATCTTCACTTTTCAGTTTTTGGGTAATGATTTTTAGGTAAGTCTCACCATTTCGCCATAGCTTCCTTTTGGACCCCTTGCCCCCTGTGGAAAGCAACCAGGCAAATAAAAAACAATGCAATGACATCTCACTTGCACTTAGGTACATCATCATAAAGCCAGTGGTAAAATGGTTTTATAAAAAGTGAAAAAATAAAATCTACGTGGCAATAAAAGGCAATAATTGCAGTGTACTTTAAAGATGTGAAACCTACAGGCTTCCCAAGTGGACCGATCATTCCTTCAGGGCCTACAGGTCCACTGAGTCCCTGAAAGACATGGTAAGATTGTTCTTCAGTTCTCACAGATATTCAAAACAATTTCCATGTTCTCAGTATATTTTTGCATGTTTTTAACTTCATAATTAAAGGACACAAATACTTCTGAAACACCAAGAAATGCTAACATTTACTCCTTAGCTGTGTAGTCATACACAAAATGACAACCAAATTGTCGCTATTCTATAGTTAGTCAAATAAATAAATGACTGACGGATTTTAAGTGTATTTAATAGAGTGGGTTTTAGAACAAAATTACAGATAACAGATTTAACTTTTATTAAACTTACCAGAGATCCCACAGGTCCTTTAGGGCCAGGGATGCCTCTTATTCCCAGTTCCCCATTTGGCCCCTGTTAGCAGGAAAATACAATATATAGAGTTTTGTAATTTCTTCTTTAATTACTGCATGTTTAACAAACAAACTGTTGATTCCTACTGTTCCAAACTTCTCCATGGAAGTTATGGAAACAAAGATGCTCTGTCCCCCTCCCCACCCACTCCCTTCCCCAAGGTCGTGGACCTGTGACGGAGTTCAACCGAGCTGGCTGATAAACAAACACCTCTTATCAGGACTATGGCTGGGGGTCCTCTGGACAGTGCTGTGCTACGACCTTCCCTCAAATTCAATGCCTCCACTGGCCTCCCTCGCCTCCCCTGGCGCAGCAACCTAGGAGATGTGAAGGTGCCAAGGGCTGCGTCGCTCGCCTGGAGGCTGTGCTGGGACCAACACAACACACTCCACACGTATCTGTATTATGTCTATTTATGTTGCTTTGCTGTGGTAGATTTTTGTTGATGCCTCAAACCATGCCCTGTCAAGGACACAATGTGAGTGATCTTTTTTTTATTTTTTATTTTTATATACCTCTCTCCTTATGTTTTTTTCTTTTTTCTTATCTAAGCAACAGGGGCAGCACATCTTAAAGCTGAAGGCTGTATGGAAAATAATTTTGTTGTACTTCACTGTGCAAGGATAATAAAAGCTTTCTGATTCTGATTCTTACCTGTGGCCCTGGAAAGCCTTGCAAACCAATCATCCCCAAATCTCCAGGCTCTCCCTGCAAACAAAAAGGATGGACTAATTCAAGCAGGCATTTGTCTGTAGTTAGTAACAACATATAGCGTGTGTGCGAGGGTGTTTTTTTTATGTTATTTTTAAGCACTTAAGTGGCTCCAGACTCAAAGAAAGTCTAATACTGGCCTTTAAAAAGTTCTCATGTATTTTTTGGAAGACACCACTTTTATATCTGGATCTACAGTAGCTCCAACACACATTCACACAACTTCCAAGACACACAGAGAGGAATGTCTGCGTCCTGGTCTGTGTCTGAGCGCTGTCTGTCGTCCAGGTGTGCAGACAGTGTGTTTGCACAGCCAGTCTTTCACGTCCTTTGGATAGCTCCACTTTCAAACCAGCGTCTTTGGCTGGGAAACTATTCACTGAAAGTGTAAAGTGATCTGACCCAGGGGTGTGAGTCTCCTCTCTGTTTCAGAAGTGGCGGGGAGGAAGGGGAGAGCGTGGGATTGAATGTCCTTTTTTATTCTTTTTTTGTGCTTACATAAGTAACATGGAGCACCGCTTTCAGTATGCTGGAGTGAGATGGCCTTACATAACTTGGCCTCTTTCAGAGAGAATGCTTCCATCTCAGATCTCACCCAAATAATTAGTGGCTCTACTCGGGATGGAAAAGCATCAAACACACATTTGAACTAAATAGAGATTATTTGCATAGACCCTTGAATCTGTTTGAAAAAAAAAGTTGAGAAATTATGTTCTAACAAGAACTTTCTTTGGTTTGTTGAATGAATCGTTTTATGTTTTTGTTGATTTGCATCAAACTTGTCAGGTCATCTGGACGGTTTCTTTTTTCGTTGAGACGTTTCATCCTTCATCCAAAGGACTTCATCAGGCTGAGGAGCCACAACAAACTCAGTCCCGCAAGCAGCATGCAAAACATGCTCATGCTCAATAATCCAGGTAAAAACAATCCAACAAAATTCAGTCAGGTCATCTGGACTGTTTTTTTTTCCGTTGAGACGTTTTGTCCTTCATCCAAAGGACTTCATCAGTCCAGGATTTTTTAACCTATATTATTGAGCATGAACTTTGATCTTTGGAGCCACTTTAACTCTGGCTGCGGCAGAGGAGTTGACGGGAGAGAGAGCGGGCTCCAGAAACCATCTTATCACCAGCAAACTGATTGGTTCACTATGTGGGTGTGCTGCTTGTGGGACTGAGTTTGTTATGGTTCCTTGGTCTGATGAAGTCCTTTGGATGAAGGATGAAACGTCTTAACAAAACGAAAAAAAAAAAAAAAAGAATCCAGATGACCTGACAGAGCTTTGTTGAATTTTTTACCTGGATTATTGAGCATGAATTTTGATTAATTTAATTTGGTTTTCTTGTTTTTTTGTTTTTGTAAGTTTCTGTCCAGCATTTAGTTTAGTCAAGTCAGTTTGGATCTCTGTACATTGATTAGTTTAATGTTGTGTTTTTTGTTTTTGGTTTTTGAAATTATCTAGTATTTTTGTTTTTTGTCTGTCTTGGTTGGTTTTGCTTTTTGCTCCAGACTCAAGCTATTGTTTAGAAATGTCTCCATTTTGCTCTCCTTCCATTTATTTATTAAATTTGACGTCTGGTGTCATGAATCCATTGTCAGTTCACGGAACATCTCATCAACCATTTATTTATATATTTATTTATTTATTTATTTATTCATTCATTCATTCTGTCTCATGCAGTGCACTTGTCTTCTAATCATTTTAGGTAGTTTCTTAAGTTCATGTCTTCCAATGCCTTGTTTTTGTTCAAACAAAATACCACAGAAATTGTTGCAGACTTCACAGTACTCTTACAAACATATTCAAATATGTTTAGTAGAACTGAATGCTGCATTCAGGGCCTAGATCTATGCCCTGAATGCAGCATTCAGTTCTACCTTTTTGAACTTTTGCTTACATTAATAAACACATCTATGTACTCACTGGTTGTCCTTTAGGGCCTGGGTCACCTTGTTTGCCCTGGTCACCTGCAGCCCCCTCCATCCCTTTCATTCCAGGGGCTCCTCTGTCTCCTGGCAGCCCAGGTTCTCCCTTAATCAACACATGTCCTTTGTTTAACATGTTACCACATTTGCAAAAGTATTTAATTCACAGAAATGTTTCAATCTCTAGTGAATGTTCAGAATAACCTATAGGTAATTTCCTGATGTTTTAATTTCACCTTTTGACCAGGTGGTCCTATTTCTCCAGGTGCGCCAGGAAGTCCATTTTCTCCTCTGGGGCCTGGACGTGCAGCAGTTCCCTCCTGTCCCACTGAACCCCGCTGACCCTAAATATATGCAGGAAGTGGTGACAAAAAGTTCAAATAAAAATTAGCACAAGTCCGAATGCTGCCTTTTAAGCTTGTAAAACATTTCTTTCCCCCAGTAAAAGCCCGTTCACGGTTGATAAATTGTGGTCTCAAATAATTCAATAAACTAAATGACACCAAGTAGTTTTCCCATTTACAGGTTTTGCATTCTTCTATCTCAAACTGTCTGGATCTCAAACTGTCTGGATTAGAAACCATTTATTATCTTTAAAGACCAATTTACTTGGAATACATGCATCCATGTTTTCAGCAAGAATTTTTACTACAGCCTTTATTCCTTAGATAGAGAACTTTACTAATTGGCTTTTATGTATGTGAATGTTCCTGTAAAGTGCCCTGAGACAACTTTGTTGTGATTTGGCGCTATATAAATAAACTGAATTGAATTGAATTTATTACTGTATATCTACATTTCTTAGAACAATAGCGCCACCATCTGTTGAGAATTGGTACAGCATGATGTTATACTGAAATGATGAGACGTTTTAAGAAGAGTCATGAAACTTCTATATGACCTAAAATAAGAAAAACAATCATATTGATCCAACAAGAATAAATGCAGATCCAGCATTAGATTCAATAGATTTTTCTACAAAATTAAGTAAATAGGGCGGCACGGTGGTTCAGTTAGTAGAGCTGTTGTCTCTCAGCGAGAAGGTCAAAGGATCAAATCCTGTCTGTGGAGTTTGCATGTTCTCTCCGTGCATGCTTGAGTTTTCTCTCGATATTCTGGTTTCCTCCCACAGACCAAAAGGTTAGGCTGATTGGTAACTCTAAATTGTCCCTTGAGTGAGAGAATGGTTGTTTGTCTCTATGTGTCCCTGTGATGGACTTGTGACCTGTCCAGGATGTCCCCTCCCGCACAGTGACTGCTGGATATGGGTACCAGTGACCCGAAAAGGAAGAAGCCAAAACTAGGGGTAAGGTAAGGGTAAAGGTGATGGATGGACTAAGTTAAACAAAAAATAATAGATTTTATGTTTTGTACAGAGAAGCTGAGGTTTCCAGTTTTGGCTGAAAGGGTAAAGATACTTTCTTTCTGCTGCACCTTTAAATAAACCCACAGTGCTGCAACCAGGAGAGGTTAATCAAGTCAAATAAGACATTTTAATGTTGCAAAAACTCAGGCTACATCTTTAAACAACACATCATCTCAGATATAAAGCCAAGACATGCAAGCAGGGGAAATGTGGTTAAAAAAAAAGAAAACAAAAAAAAAAGCTAAATAAGTTTTTTTTTAAAGTGACGTCCTGCAGCTAAGAGGTAATAATTGTAAAAAAAAAAATAATAATAAAAATCACTGATAATACACCAGTTATTTGAGTATTGCTTTGTTGGGGTATGTTCAACACTGCAGTTTATAGTTTAAACAATGAAAAAAAAAAAAAATAGCCAGATTTAGAAAAGGAAATTGACACTTTATGTATTCATTCATTCATCCATTCATCCATTATCTTTACCCGCTTCTTCCTTTTTGGGTTGCGGGGTATGTATTTATTTATTTATTTATTCTTTTTTTTCCTCCCACATACACTTTATTTGTTTAGTTTGCAGAGCTCTCAGATAAACTGTAGATGTCTAAAATGGCAGAAAAGTAATACTGTACAGTTAACTAGTTAGTTGAATCTGTCCATCCATCCATTATCTTTACCCGTTTCTTCCTTTTTGGGTCACGGGGGTCACAGGTGCCCATGTCCAGCAATCACTGTACGTTAGTTGAGTTAGCTGAATCTAATTAGCAGTTACTGACTTGAGAGTTGAACAAACGGAAGGTTTTTTTTTTTAAATGACACATTGATAATAATAATAAAGATTTCTTGAGCACAAATTACCTGCCGCCCTGGTTTTCCTGGTAGACCTGGTAAACCTGTCAGCCCTGGAGGACCATCTGGTCCTGGGTAACCCTTCAGTCCCCTCAGTCCTGGTGAACCAATCGGGCCCTAGAAATAAATAATGCCACCGAAGTTCATCTCTTCTGCGATCCATTTTCTCAGTCATCAGTTGTCATCAGTTCCCCTATAAACCCGTAACTCCATTGTGTTTCAATGCCCCATTGCTTGTCTGAAATGCTGAAATTATGTGATTAAAATTTGATATTCCTGTCTTTGATTTTGGTATGGTCCTGCAAAATGACAATATGTTTAGTTGCAAATACAAATAAAATGAGTTCTATTGGACAACTTCAAAAGTAATTTAAACAACTAATTGATTCTCACAAAGTTTTCATAGAACTGAAACATGGCTGTTCTTCCATTTGCTCTAAAAATTGAACATTTTCTCAGGTCATGCACACACACATACTGTAAATACACTTACTCAGTTAGACTATTTCTGACTTCCTTCTGTTCTTACCATGTCACTTGGGTGTTATGTTAATGGCTGCTTGTTGCACCTCATACTGCAGTTTGTGTAAATCAGGAATAAATTTACTTTGACTTACTTCCACACCAGGGGGGCTACTCAGACCTCTTGCTCCTTTCTTTCCAGCTGAACCCTGAAACACACAAATAAAAATATAAAGGCTGACTTTTTTCACACACAGATGAAGATGAGTTAATTAAAACTCTAAACTGTGTTTTTATTAAGAAGGCTAGATAGAAGATAGATAAGGTCTATAGTTTCAAAAGAAAAAAAACAAGTTAATGAATCATGTCTATAGGTTCTGGTATACAAATGTGACATAAGAAAAAGCAAATATATTAGTTCACCAAAAACACAATTTATTAAAGGGTGTTTAACATTTAAGAATCAAAGAACAAAATGAAAAATCAGGAACATTTCTAAAAAAAAAATTAACTATGACCACAATAAGCTGTATTTTTTTCCAATCAGTAGTCCCTCGCTTCTTCGCGGTTTGACTTTCGCGGACTCGCTCTTTTGTGGTTTTTCAAAGTAATATTGAAACAAGATTGTACAGGACGCATGATTGTTAACTTTAATATTACTCATGTGATACTTCAGACAGGCGCTGCCATTTTGTAGTTTTTTTTCAAAAAGCCTACACTGTGTCCACGCTCATAAGGACTACATTTCCCAGAAGCCCCGTTAACTTCTGCTGAAATACATAGGGTTAAAGTTTTGGTCTTATTGGAAAAAGTTTGGTGTTTATTACACAGTGACCTTGGCGACCAGTGGATGCAGAGAGCCACGCTGAACCCTCCGAAGCGGACCAGGACCGGACCTCCAGACCCATCTGTGAATCTTGAGAGCTGGTAGCCAGCCCACAAGGACTTCCAAATGGGATGCGTGCCACCGAAGTTCTGGTGCTCTATCCAGAACCCATCGCCACTACCCTGAGCCAAAGAGCCGACCAGAACCGGCAGAGTAGGTCTTCCAAAGGAAGCCAAATCGGAGCCGAGCCGAGCCGCTGCTGTTCTGTAGAGTAGTGAATAAAATGTAGCTACTTATAAGTATGTTTGTTAAACTTAGTAGGTTTAAGAGTTTAGAAGAGTGATTGTGGGCTTCATCGCTGCACGGCAGCTCTGCAGAAAAGGAAACGAGTCAGAGCGGAACCGAGTCGGACCACCGAAACCGAGCCCCTACTGTTCTGCAGCACTCCTAAGTAAAATTTAGTAGCTACATGTACAGTACTGTATGTATGTTGTTAAATGACATAGGTTTAAGAGTTTAGAACATTGCAAGAGTGTGGGAAGTGTTTATAAAGCCTAATATATATATACAAAGTATAAATACTAAAATAAATATAATGCTGCTCCTTGGCAGATTTTCACTTATTGCAGGGATGGGGGGTGTCTGGAACATAACCCGGCAAGAAAACAAGGAACTACTGTATTTTACAAGTTCTGTCAAGCATATTTCTCATTTATTATTATTATTATTATTATTATTATTATTATTATTATTATTATTATTA